AGCAGGCTTGGTGATGACTCGCATAATGTGCCTTTGTGAAAAGAGAACAGTTGCAACAACAGTATCAGCAAGTCCTGAAGGAGGATTCCAAAAAGCAGCTGACAAGACCCAGAAAATCCCCCTGGGTACGATGGATTTAATTTTCAGTGGAAATACAAAGCAATTAATTTTTTGTGACCAGTGACTGAATCCCTTAATTAAACATGATTTCTATGACTTATTTACTTTTTATTTGATTTTTGTATATGGACAGATAAAATATTGATGGTGGATGGGTAGCTAGAAAGAGAAAAATAATGGTGTGAAAAATGGTATCTATCAACGCTATTGTAATTAAAATACTAAGTGTTCTTGAATTTACTGTACGAAAAAGAAAAGGAAGTGAAATTGAGGGAGTTGTTGAACTTCACATGTCTCTTTATCACAGGAAAACTCATTTCCTAAAATATGTCTCTACGGTTAATAAAAACAAAGCGCAGATGTAAATGTTAAAAACACAGAGCCTTTGGAGTCATGATGCTTTCTGAAAACATTACACGCTTCAGACTTGGAAAGCATTTATCTACCGCTGCTGGCAAGCACAGGGATCCTCTTCCTCCCATCTTCCCTGTCCTGAGTTGTATCATTATTGCCGCATCCAGGTCGCGGTGAGCACATTCAGTTCTTTAACTATAATGCTCATGGTTGTTTTGCTCTCTGTTCAAACAGATTCCGAGTTAACACCGTGCTTTCACTTCTTGATTCTCTGTTCCTGAATTCTTTGAACATCTGAATTGTGTGACCGAGCCTTCAGAAGCGCTCCTGGGTGCTATTTCCCTAAGTCATTTCGTGATTGAAAAGATGTCCTTTTAAAGAAAATGACATACTCGCTGAAATAGGCTATTCCTGACAACACTTTCTTTTAGCGAGAGCTGTGTGGATGGCTCGTTCTCAAACTTTAACATCGTCGACATTTCCCGGGGACTTGTTAAAAATGCGGAGTCGGTAGGCTTGTCGTTGGGCCTGGGATTCTGCATTTCTCCATGCCACGGAGCATGGAGGGCAGAGCTTCTTTATTCATGCCCACTGTGTCGCCTCATCTGGCCGTTGACTGGCAGCCTTTAAGATCCATGGCAGTAAACTGGTAATGCAGTGAGTAAATAGATTTCCTGAGTTCCCTGAGCTGCGCTAGCAAATTAGTCAAACCCAAGGAGAGGGTCGTGGGAACTCCGGTCAGAAGTCAGAAGTGAAGTCTTGGAGTGCCACCTAGTAAAATGTCCCATGTGCCCCTCAGGAGGGTGGGGTTTCATGGAAAGCTTTGTTGTTGATGTATAATGAAGGGGGTCCCCTCAAAGGTCCAATCTCTGTTCATGTTGCCATGGCAGAAGTCCAATCTTGTCTTCAGCAGCGCGAGAATGAAGGCCACGGCCCAGAATTTCCGCTCCATGTTAAAGTCCAGTCCAGTCCAGCAATAAACAGACTTAGTGTGGGTTCCCAGTTGCAGTCCATTGCGTGTGGGGTCCTCGTGGCCCTGAGCTATGCGGTTGCTTAAGGCCATATGACAGGTGAGTGCATGTCACGGAGCAAGAGAGAAAGGGGGAACAAGAAGGCAAAAGCAATGGCCATAGCTGGTTTGGCTCAGTGGATAGAACATCGGCTTGCGGAATGAAGGGTCCTGAGTTCGATTCTGGTCAAGGGCACTGTCCAGGTTGCAGGTTCCAGGTGTGCAGGAGGCAGCCAATCAATGATCCTCTCTCATCATTGATGTTTCTATCTTTTTCTCTTCCTCTCTGAATATACGTGTGTGCGTGTGTGTGTGTGTGTGTGTGTGTGTGTATAATATTTTTTAAAGGCAAGAGCAAGAAGAAGAGGAAAGCGAACTCTTTGGGGATCTTAACTTTCCAGGATTTCCCAGGCTCACATTGGGGTCCACCCTTGTAGCCAATCCATGGTTTCCCAGGCTAGACTGATAGGCAAGCACCTTCCCATGTCACCCTGACTTCCCTGCACATGTGCCCACCTCCCCCTTTGTTCCATCCCTCTGCCCAGGGATTTGCAGGGAATGGACCGATGGTTCCCTGGGGAGCATGAATGCTTCCGGAGAAGCTGCCCAGACGACCGTGCTTATCATGTCTGGCCTCTCCTTTGCTCTCTTCCAGTAATGAATATGAGTAAAGTCCAAACAGGGTTCCTGGGAACTTCCAATCTGCAGCCAGCTGATCAGAAGCACAGATCCCAAACAGCCTGGACTTGGGATTGGCGCCTGAAGGGAGGGCGGTCTGTGGGGCTGAGCCTGTGGAATCTGAGGCTGCCTCTGGGCAGACAGTGTCGGAATGGAGATGAATTCTAAAGCAGCAGTTGTTGTCTTGAGTACTGCTTAGTGGAGTGGGGGAAACGCCCCCCGACACACACACATTGGAATTGGGTGAAAACCCCAAAATAAACTGTTTTTCTAATCATCAATTCAAAGAGAGGAAGAAAAAAAAAAAAGTCAATGAGCCAACTCGGCGTGTTACTTTCCGGATTTGGAGAGGACTTTTTCACTATGGCTTTTTGGAGGGAGGGCCGTGGGGTGGGGAGGGGAGGGGGAAGACCTAGGAGCAGTTTAGAACCAAGTACTTCTTGGGTTTCCTCCGTAGACTCTTCTATTTCTTGTGGGCCCTTTCGGTTGATTAATGTTGCTGTGTGTGTGTGTGTGTGTTGTTGTTTTTCCTAGTGATCCTTTTAACATGTAAGACAGGTCATAGCACTTAAAATTCTCCAGCGGCTCCCGATCTCTCGCAGAGTCAACACGACGGGCGTGACTCTGGCTCACTGGACCCCGGAGGATCAGTCCTCATCTTCAGTCCCATTACCTCTTGGCCTTGTTCCTCCTCCTGCTGCAGAGGCCAGCTGGTCTGTCCGGCCTCCAGGTGTCTCCCGCCTCAGGGTCTTCTACCTGGAACATCCTCCCCTCCCCACCCCACTCCATTTCCCGAGGGCTCGCTCCTCCTCTGCCTTTACGTCTTTGTTCAAATATCCCCTCAAAGCGACCTTCTCTGTCCACGCTCATTAGACCTGCAGCCCTCTGTCCTTCAGCTTCTTCTTTTTTTTTTTTTAATATATGTTTTATTGATTTTTTACAGAGAGGAGGGGAGAGAAATAGAGAGCTAGAAACATCGATGAGAGACAAACATCGATCAGCTGCCTCCTGCACACCCCCTATTGGGGATGTGCCCGCAACCAAGGCACATGCCCTTGACCGGAATCCAACCTGGAACCCTTCAGTCTGCAGGCCGACGCTCTATCCACTGAGCCAAACCGGTCAGGGCAATGTCCTTCGGCTTCTTGACGTTTTCATTTTTCTCCATAGCATCTATCACTTTCGAATCTACCCAATCGTTTATTTCTTCATTTTACTCACGGACTGCCCCTCCTGCTCTGCTCCCTGCTCCCTCCCAAGGGGAGCTTCCTGAGGGCAGAGATTATTTTCTGGCTAAAACAGTATCTCGCACATGGGGAGTATTTAATGAACGTTGGTTGGATTTATGTTATTTGTTGTTGTTTGTTTTGCTTATCATGACATCAAGGGAGAAAAAGTCTTTGAGGACAGTTCTCCTGCCTCTTCAATTCTTTTCACTTAATCTTCTGTACAATCTACTTAATATATCTTGATGAAGGTCAGTCTTGTTCCTAGGAAACCTGCTCCAGTGGGTAACAAGCTCATAAGGAGAATTCCTTCCTATTTATTCAAACGATATCTTTATCCATAGCCAGCTCAGGTTTCTCTGTTCAGCGGAGTAACATAGAAATACATACCCCAACAAAATATCCTTCACTTCTCTGCACTGCAAGGTGGTGAGATAGACTAGGAGGGGAAAAATACACTATTGCTACGCCTCCCTTACTAGGGTTCCGTTCTCAGAATGTCCACAGGAGGGCCCTGGGCTACTCCTCCGTTACTAGGGTGCTGTTCTCAGAATATCCACAAGAGGGTACTATTGAGACTAAATTTGTATTAATGTCATTGCCTCTTTATTAATAATTAATATCCAATATTAAATTATTTGTAGTCCCTCCCTCACCAACTGCTTCTGTGGTATTCCCCATGTCATCAATGGCATCTCAGTTCCACCATTTGCTTAAGCCAACAACCATGTAGATGGCTTTGCCCACTCTTTTTGCTTACTAATCCATATCCAATTCCTGAATAAATCTATAGGCTCTACCTTCAACATTCACCCCCAAATTAGCTTTTGTCACCACCTTCACATCAGCTTGGTCTAAGCCAGTGGTCGGCAAATGGCAGCTCGCGAGCCACATGCGGCTCTTTGGCCCCTTGAGTGTGGCTCTTCCACAAAATACCACGTGCGGGCACGCATGTACAGTGCGATTGAAACTTCGTGGCCCATGCACAGAAGTTAATATTTATCATCAAAATTGGAGCCACCTAAATCCCAAACCTCAGAGCTGTTGATTTGTATAAAAATCCTAAAAGTATAAAGTGTCCCAGAGACCAAACAGCCTAAAGAGTGTTGCTTTAGAACAAAACTACTATTTTTCCTTGAAAAATGAAAGCACAGTTGTGTTTCTCCATTACTACTACTCTTGGTATAGTTTCAACCTCTGGTTTATAGCTTTTTAAAATACATATTTTTATTGATTTCAGAGACTAAGGGAGAGGGAGAGAGAGAGAGAAACATCAATGAGGGGAGAGAATCATTGATCAGCTGTTCCCTGCACGCTCCACACTGGGAATTGAGCCTGCAACCCAGGCATGTGCCCTGACCGGGAATCAATATTGTACACAAGTTCTTTTAGCAGCCTGGCATCACTCATGAATACACATAACACAGCTTTCTGCAACTATATTGTTATGGACTAACAATTGTGTTTCCCCCAATTCATACACTGAAATCCTACCCCCCAAAGTGTTGGTGACAAGAGGTGGGGGCCTTCTGAAGGCGATTAGGTCATGAGGGTGGAGCTCTCATGAATGGGATTAGTGCCCTCATAAAAGAGACCCCAGCGACGTCACTCACCCTTTCAACCATGTGAGGACACAGCGAGAAAGCAGCCACCTAGGAGCCTGGACACCGAACCTGACAGGGCCTTCATCTTGGCTTTCCTGCCTCCAGAACTGTGAGAAAGAAAGTTTGTTGTTTAAACCACTGAGTCTACAGATGTTTGTACAGCGGTCTGAACAGACTAAGACATGCATCTCTTACATATTCTTAAAAGGACAAAAAATGACTACCCAAAGCTAAAGCATCTCCATAATAAAAGTAAAAACCAAAAGTATGTAATAATTATCCATTAATTCATTCACCTGAATATCAGTCCAAGGCTGGATAGGGAAATGTGAGCTGGAAAATTATAGACACAAGAATCAAAGACAGCTTTGAGGTTTGGGATTTAGGTGGCTCCAATTTTGATGATAAATGACAACCAAAAACTTTTAACCTTTATATTTTAAGATAGGGCTATCTATCTATCTATCATCTCTTTCTATCACCTATTCTCTTACAGTTTTTTTAAAGCTCATTCTTTTAAAGTTTCATTTCATCAAATTGGACTTAGCTTCCAGGGTGTTGCTTCATGGATGTACCACTATATTTTGAAATCCCCAGTGACAGTAATATGTCATAGAGATAAAAATGCCTACTCAGGAATCCCAAAACAAACAAACACATAAGAAAAACTTTAAAAAATTTCCATCATTTTATTGTCTCTATTTTTATATTTGTAGAAAGGAAAAGCTAAGAACTAAGAACTTGAGGTGGGTTTAAGGCCATTTATTCACAGGATCCAAGCTCAAAGACCTATGATATAGGTTCTTTTTTTTACTTAAAGCCCTCACCTATTTTGCAAAAAAAAAAATAAAAAGTCATTTTGTTAGAAAACAGTAATACAGAAAAATTGCTATAGAAAGAAAGTATATTCTCCCTCCATAACTTTATCATGCTTTAGAATAAAGCCTTACTAGCCCCACTGGCGTAGCTCAGTGGTTGAGTGTCAACCTATGAACCAGGAGGTCATGGTTTGATTCCTGGTCAGGGCACATACGTGGGCAGGGGGAGTGCAGGAGGCAGCCGATCCATGATTCTCTCTCATCATTGATGTTTCTCTCTCTCTCTCCCCCTCTCCTTTCCTTTCTGAAATCAATAAATTATACATTAAAAATATAAAGCCTTGCCGAAATCGGTTTGGCTCAGTGGATAGAGCGTCGGCTTGCAGACTGAAGGGTCCCAGGTTCAGTTCCGGTCAAGGGCATGTACCCGGGTTGCGGGCACATCCCCGGTGGGAGATGTGCAGGAGGCAGCTGATCGATGTTTCTCGCTCATCGATGTTTCTAACTCTCTATCTCTCTCCCTTCCTCTCTGTAAAAAATCAATAAAATATATTTAAAAAATATATATATAAAGCCTTAATAGCAGAGCACTCTCTTCCCCGACGTGCACCCTAAATTGGTGTGTTCATGTACAAGAATTTTCTCTCCTTCAGCTCGCAAGGGAAATCAGTGACTTAAGAGATAGAATGGAATTAAGAACTAAATCCCACTTTTATACTAAGAACATTATACTGTCCTCGGTAGAGAATGCAAATGCTTAGAGCATAAATTAATTTACTATTAAGTAGTAACAGAAAGTTGCCCATCGTCGCCCCTGACAATTACCTTGAGGACAAATTCACAGTGTGTGGCTTTACGTCGGACTCACTTTTCCATTCTTATTCTGTTCTTAACTCGCCCTGTTCCATTCAGTATTACTTTACAGCACACCACGCACTCTTTTCCTAACTTTGCCCGGAGTTGGCACCAAGCGAGTGGAAATGAAAATATCTTTCACGTCAGTCTGTCTTGCCTCACAACATTCTCGAGCTGTTTTCCCCATTTTGGCATTTCAAGGGCAGTTCTGTCCTCTTAAGGCTGGAAGAGGTGCTTGCAGAGTTGATCATCAAAGAAAGAAAAGAGAGAATGGAATTCACCTGTGCTGACCAGGGGACAGAAGAGGACACTCCAAGGTCAAACCATGGGTAGTTCAAAAGGTCCTCTGACCGTGTGTTTGATAGAAAATCCAGACAGAAATGCCCTTTGCCCCAGAAAATTGTTCTTATGGGGTTTGAGTTTGCATCGTAAGGTTATTTTTATAGCATCTCTGTTGGTTTTCGATTGCCATAAATAGAGAAAAAAAAAAAAGGCCAACAAACCACTAAGTTGAGAAACTGGAATGATAATTTGAGCAGAGTGGTGAGTGGGTAGGGTATGGAATAAAAATGCCAGTTCTTCATATAGAAAAATGTCCTGTTTCAGAAAAACAGAACTTTGGTGGTTCTAAAAAAAAAAAAAGGTCATTTCAGCGCCGCTTGCTTTGTTCCACTGCACAGTGCAGGTGTAGCCATTCTAATTCCTCAAATGTCTAATGCGCTCTCAATTGACAGAAAAATATGTAATTAGGTGTGCATAATTTACTTGGCATGAAATGAGGTTCCTCTTTCATTTATCTTCTGTGCCCATTGTAGTGTGGAAAATGCCAGTTTTTTTAATAGACTTAAGAAAAAAATGAGGTTTCCTTGTATTAGGACCTAATACAATTGCATTCGTGCTGGAAAATAATATGCACAGCGCTTCAATGGAGACTTTTAGAAAAGACCTGTGTCTCACTCAAAGAACGTTTTGGTTCCTATAGAAAATCAGGTGGTATTTCTCCTCTTTCTGTTGACAGGTAACCCTCTGACCGAAGGGCAGCCAAGGAAAGCTACGGCAATTCCCCATCACTACCCCTCAGCGAGGAGCTACCTAGCGCATTAAGTGGACTGGGATTCCCCCCAGAAAAAGGAAACTTTCTCTAATACTATACAAACATGCCACAAAATAGTAACTCAGGGCGTTAAGACTGCTCAAACCAACATGTGTCTTACCAGTGGTGGGCAAACTGCGGCTCGGGAGCCACATGCGGCTCTTTGGCCCCTTGAGTGTGGCTCTTCTGCAAAATACCACATGCGGGCACGCATGTACAGTGCGATTGAAACTTCGTGGCCCATGCGCAGAAGTCAGTATTTTGTGGAAGAGCCACACTCAAGGGACCAAAGAGCCGCACTCAAGGGACCAAAGAGCCGCATGTGGCTCGAGAGCCGCAGTTTGCCAACCACTGTCTTAGGCCGATGAGGAGTTATCAAGCCCTGATCTAAAAGAAAAATAATACCAGACTGCGGGACTACTCCATGCCAGGCTGTATGCGACACGTGTCCCTTGCACTATGTCATTACATTCTCATAACAACCCTATGAAATAGTTACCATCATTATTTCCATTTAACAGATGAGGAAACTGAGGCTGAGAGATGTTCACTTACTTCCCCAAGATCAAACAAGCCATTATGTGTTGGAATTGTGATGTGAATCTACATTTTGAAAACCACTTTATTGCCCTGGATCCTACACGAAGTCCTCCAGGCTACAGGCGTTATTTTTGTTTTGTTTTTTTAAAAAATATGTCTTTTTATTGATTTCAGGGAGGAAGGGAGAGGGAGAGGGAGAGACAGAAACATCAATGGTGAGAGAGAATCATTGATTGGTTGCCTCCTGCATGCCCCCTACTGGGGATCGAGCCCCCAACCGGGGCAGGTATGTAAAGGTAATTTAATTTTAAATTCCTTACTGTCTTGTATGTCCAAAAGGAAAGAAAGATGGTGGGTTATTTTTTTTTTAAGGTTACATTTAAGAGCCAGGATCATATAAATTCTATGTTTGGGGAGTTCCTTCTTCTCAATGTCCTGAGCCTCTAATCCAGTGGTTCTCAACCTGTGGGTCGCGACCCACCCCTTTGGCGGTCAAACGACCCTTTCACAGGGGTCGCCTAAGACCATCCTGCATATGAGATATTTATATTACGATTCATAACGGTAGCAACATGACAGTTAGGAAGTAGCAACGAAAATAATGTTATGGTTGAGTCACAACATGAGGAACTGTATTTAAAGGGCCAGAAGGTTGAGAACCACTGCTCTAATCTGCCGTTTCACTAGTTTACAGAAATGTAAATAAAATCCGCATTTTTGTCTCTAGGCATACAAGTGCCATCTAGTGGTAGAAGAGGGCCACCACAGGAATGACATCTTTATAGAAAACACTTACTTGTTTATTTTTCACTTGCTGTTTATCATGATTAGCTAATCAAAATGGGCCGAGTTGTAACTGGATTGGAAAATAATGTTGTAGTCTAAAACAAGATTATTTGATCATTGGCTTAAGAAAATGTGGGATCAGATAAAAATGGATTATAGACAAAGGGCTTCTTAAATATGAAACATTTGAAAATGTCACATCAGGAACTCAACATCAAATTGTACTTTGGAAGGAACCTTCAAGCAACATTTATGGACGTTTTTAGAGACCATTGAGAGATGTAAGTGAGGAAGAGGCTGAAATCCTGAAGGTAACAGTGTTCTACCAGAATCCTCTCTTCTTCCTCTTTACCTAACTCCTACTAACCTTCAGATTTTAATAGAGATGTGACTTCCTCTGGTATGAAAATAATACAATAATCAATAAATAATAATATGAGAAGAATGTTTCCTCGCTTTTTCCAGCATCTAGAGACCACCTGAATTCCGTCCTCCACCTTTATAGCCAGCAATGGTGGGTTGAGTTCTCACATAACATTACTCTCTCTTTTCTAATTCCCTCTGCTACTTTTAAGGGCCCTTGTAATTACACTGGTTATTGATTTCAGGGAGGGAGGGAGAGGGAGATAGAAACATCAATGATGAGAGAGAATCACTGATCAGCTGCCTTCTGCACACCGCCTACTGGGGATGGAGCCCGCATGGGGCATGTGCCCTGACCTGGAATGATACTGGTTCATAAGTCAACGCTCCTGGTTCATAGGTCAGCGCTCAACCACTGAGCCACTGCGGCTGGGCACGTAATCCTCTTTTTCCATGTAAGGTAACAGCCACAGGTCCAGGGGCCAGGTTGCGGACATCTTTGGGTGGACCAGGGTCATTATTCTGCCTATTGTAGAGGAATTGCGAAGTCTGTGGGGAATATTGGCAAAGGGATCCCCCAGATGAAAGGAAGGGGCAGGGGCTTATGGGCACAGTTTTTCAAATGCGAGTGTTAGAGGTATCACTACAAGCTACTTATATATATTACTAACTCACATTGATCTTGGCAGACACTAAAGCCTCTGGATGTTTTTTACATGGTTAAACCAGAATCCCTCCTATTTTGTACTACTGCAGTTTTATTTTTCAATTTGAACAAATGGAGGGATTTTCACATGTTTCTATTAAATGTTGCTTTACATTTTAGCTTAGAGTTTCAAATATTCATATAATTTTGTTTCCAGGTTCAGTTCTCTGTCATATTTTCTCTGCTATACAGGCTTTTAAAAAAAATTTTATTGTTTTTTTACAGAGATGAAGGGAGAAGGATAGAGTTAGAAACATCGATGAGAAAGAAACATGGATCAGCTGCCTCCTGCACACTCCCTAATGGGGATGTGCCCGCAACCAAGGTACATGCCCTTGACCGGAATCGAACCTGGGACCCTTCAGTCCGCAGGCTGACGCTTTATCCACTGAGCCAAACCAGTTAGGGCAATATATAGGCTTTTTTTCCAACCTCTGATTTGACCAGAATGATCAAATTATGACCTCACCTATATAATTTATGAAAAATGATAAACAAAAATTTGGCTGGGATTATCGTAACTTTGAGTTTATCTAATTAAAACTATATTGAGCTCTTATTTTAGACTCTCATCCACAAATATCATGAAAGGCTGGCGTACATGTTTTGCTGAAATTAATTTACATCATGACTACACAATTCCCATTTTTATTCAAAGATAAAATTTTTAAAAAAGAAGATAATATACTTATCTTTAGGTAGTTTGGTCCTTAGTGACCACCAAACTTTCTTAAAACTAACTGTTTGTAAAATATAGTTAATTATGTACTCTGGAATTTTACTTTTCCGTTTTAAAGTTTTTAGTGTCTACCTTTTACACAATTTTTAAAAGCAGGTGATCTTTCATCTTTTTCATATTTTACAGTTTCTCTGAACTTAGCAATGGGTCTTAGGTTACCTGTAAGCACCTGTGGGATGTAATTTGTGCCTGGAACTCATGAACTTCCTTGAAACAGATAGGTGTTTGCTTACTGTCTCCTCGCCTATCTCGAGTTTCAATTCTCTTTCTATGCTGTTTCACCTTTACTACTTTAAAGTCCATTTTCCTTTCTGAGTAGGGAAAGAACACACAAATAGTCTAGCTTCCTTTTTAGCTTTTTCATTATATCTGAGACCAGTGCTTCTCAACCTTGGCTGCACATTAGAATCACCTGGGAATCTGTTTAAAATCCTGATTTCTGGGCCTCATCCTCCGGAAATTCTGTTTCTTTGTTACTAATGTTGTGGCCCTACCACATAACAAAGAAACAGAATTTCTGGAGGATGAGGCCCAGAAATCAGGATTTTAAAAAGATTCCCAGGTGATTCTAATGTGCAGCCAAGGTTGAGAACCACTGCCTTAGAGCAACTGGTAATTTTGTGTTTATAAAATCCTATGCAGGCTTATTTCCCTCCTCGTATAGTCTCCATATGGTTAAATCAATTTCCCCATCGTTTCCTCTGAAAGGTACCAACCAGGTAATTCTAGCCCTCAATGATTTCTCTACATTCCTTTCTAGTTTGCACCACATAGTTTAACAGTGAAACAAATATTATCTTCCATTTGATACTCTTAATCATTTCTTTTTTGGTCTCTCAGAGTAACTTGATTTATTTACCTTTTTTTTTTCCGCTGCAAAGTTGGGGTTCTTGCTGAGCAAGAATACTAGGCACTCAATATACTCATGTTGGTTGACTGAGTTTTTAAACATCAAATTTGGCAAGATATTCTTCAAATATTAATCTCTTGAATACTTTTTCTGTTTAGAGAAACACAAAGAAAAGAATACTTGAAATTCTCTTAAATGTAATAAAAACATTATTAGTAGTAATAAAAGCTAAAACTAAAAGTGCCTTCAGAAGTCATTCCCTTCTCCAACCCTCCACAAATTATTAATTACACATTTCCTTAGGAAATTTAATAACACTCTCAGCCACATCTGAGATGGGAGTTTGGAATTCTATGGTTAAAGATGTGCAATTCTTTCTCTACTTTCTCAGTCAAGGCTGTGTTTCTTTGTCTTGCCCTGTTCTAGAAAAAGGTACCAATTTGAAATTATACCTAATTTAAACCCTGAATTGAGAAACCGCATCACTCTCTTGGCACTTTATTGTTAGCCTGTGGAAAGGGCAAATGTTTAGAAACAAATAATAATAGCAGTTAATAATAATAGATTTTTAAAATTGGTATATGGAATTTTCAATGTACTGATAATGTACTGATGCAAAATAATGTACTGATAAGACATCAGGAAAAATTGCCCTAACAATCTAGAAATTTTGTTCTTAATTATGGCTAAAAAAAAAAAAAAAATCACGTAAGAAATCCATTAAATAAGGTTTTATTTGCTAGCAAGAATAGAATCTATTGTTCACCAGCAGGAGGTTATGGTGTAGGTTGGTGTTTTGGTTAGCAAGCCTGATTCTCTTTCTTTATATGATTACTGCCAAAATTTTGGTTCACCATTTAGGCAACTTGTTACATCTCAATGTATGACTTCTATGATCTATGCATTCCCCTGTGACTTATTTGTCTAAGAATCTACTAATGAGGTCTGGGGATTTAGGTTGCCACCATGACAACCAAGCAGAGCGGTTTGTTTGCTATTTCCTAGCTACGGATGCTCAGAAAGTAACATCTTCCCTGCAGATGGTAACTATGGAAATACAGGTTAAGATTATGTGGCTAAATTGTTTACAGGGTACACGCAATCTGATAACATCCCACGCAGAGAGAGGAAAGTATGTCATGGACAATACATTACTCTGTGCAGTCTGTTTATTAAAAGGTCTTTCTCAGTATCCTCTGTTATGTAATTCCCATAACCACATTATCATGATAATTTTGTTGCTCATTCCAGACGAAGAATTTAGTATTTTCCCTTTCTTTTTTAAGGTAGATTTTGTTAGGCAAATGGGTATTTAGTGGGAATAATAATGACAACAGTATTTGCATATTTTTGCATAGGTTGTTGTTTTTTTAAAAATGTATTTTTATTGATTTCAGAGGTGAAGGGAGAGTTTATCTTTGATCTATACGTATTTGCCCTCAGGTTCAAGGCCATTAAGAGTGCATTCTCTTTGGATAGTCAATAGTGTGGAGGTAATGGAATATGGGGCCAGGTAGGTGCTTGGGGCAGCGAGGGGACCACCCTGTAGAGTGCATTGCTTTCCCGCCACTTTGCTGGGCATCTGAAACTGGTGCGGAATGGTATTGAATGTAAATGGTGGTTGAAAAATATAAATAAAGAAAGTGTAAAAAAAAAAAAAGCATTCTTCTGAATTTGTAACCAAATTGTTTTAACTATTTCAAGAGAAAAATATATCATAAATAATTTCTGTTACCTGCCTCCTTCTGTATTTGGATGCAGTTTCTAGGATAGTCCACTTCCTTCCCCAACTCCCAGTGCCTGATTTTTAGTCGTTATGGATTCTGCTAAACCTTTTTGAATTTCCTATTTAATCCATATTCAGTAGAATAAATAAAACTTGATTCCTGAAGGGTTAAGGAGAATAAGACAGGGCAGAGAAAAACTTATTGTGCTTAGCAAATATCTTGCAGAATGCTTGCAGCCTTGAGCACTGCATAGCCCGGATAACCACTAACCACCTGACGCTGGGAGGAACCAAGGACGGACCGGACCCTTATGTCAGCAGAGCGGCTTACAGCCAGCAAAAACTAATAAAAATCTATCTCTCCCTGCTCTCTTGGCTGATGCCTTTCTCGGTCTCAGCCCACCTGCATCCAGGTGCCAGGAATAAAATCTCTTTTGATACATTATGACCTCATGTCATAGGTGCGCGACCCCGGCCCATTCCGAACCTTTCAATTCCTTTGTGTGTGTTTTTTTAATTTTGTGTTAGAGCTTAGCATTGCGACTGTTGGGGAGATCTGGCTTAAAGTTGAGCAGAAAAACGAAGACATGTTTTTTAAAAATGCATAGGATTGACAGAATTAAATTTTTTTTCTTTAAATTAAGTTAAACTCCCCAAAGAACTGTGCAAAGAAACGTGACCATACAGCTCAGCTGGTGTTGCTCAGTGGTTAAGCATGGGTCGACCCATAAACTAAGAGTTCAACCCTGTCAGGGCACATGCCCAGTTGTGGCTGGATCTCCAGTGGGGGACATGCATGAGGAAGCCCATCAACGTCTCTCTCTCGTCGATGTTTCTCTCTCTAAAATCAATCAAAAAGTATTTTAAAAAAATTCTACACATTTATATTTATACAAAAAGAAAGAAACGTGACCAAACAGAAAGTTGGAGAAAAGAATTTGTGATGCTAGTGTTGTGAGCTTTTCTTTATGGTCATTTTTTTTTTACTACCACGTAGGCCCCTTTATAAACACCGGTTTGTATTTTCAGCAAAAGAAACTGTCTCTCAAAGATACCCTCGGTGCCCAGCTGGTGCAGCTCAGCGGTTGAGCCTTGACCTATGAACCAGGAGATCACCATTGGATTCAGGGCACATGGAGGGCACATGCCCATGTTGCGGACTGGATCCCCAGTAGGGGGCGTGCAGGAGGCAGCCCATCAATGATTCTCTCTCATCATTGATGTTTCTCTCTCTCTCTCCCTCTCTCTCTGACATCAATACAAAACATATTTTTTAAAAAAAATACCACCTGCCTCAGGCCATTGTTTAAAGATTCAGAATCTGCCCTTTCCCAGACTCTCAGGAGGACACTGCAGAAACTCCTAGCGTCCCCCACGTCCAGATGTCCCAGGGGGCGGTGTCTGACGGGGGGGGGGGGGGAGTGGGGAGCCCGGGGAAGCATTGAGGACCACGAGGTCACTGCACCCCATCGCTGCGGCAAGAGGGGACTGCGGAGGAGCAGGGAAGGGACCTGCAGCCCAGGGAGAGGACCGCCCGACGCCGCGGGAATTCAGATAAAAAGGACGGATGCTTACAACTAGCTGTGACGCGGGAGGCCGGCGCGGGGAGGGCCGCCGGGCAAGGTCGCCTGGGCGGCGACGGTCACCTGGGCGGGGACGCGCACCCGCGCTCCTGACTTCACGCCGCCGGTTTCGCCCGCGCCTCCCGGGCCAGCGCGGGGAGGGCCCCACCGCACAGTCTCGCGACGCGGGGCTCCCAGGGCTCCGCCGCCGGGCGGGCGCGCGGGATCCTGGTCTCCGGGCGCCGCGCTCGCCCCGCCCCCCGGCGCGCGCCCCCTCGCGGACGCTCCGCCCACCCCGCCTGCGCCCGGGAGCGCGCCACGCAGCGGCGGGGACGCGCGCGGGGGTGGGGGGACGCGCCTTCACGCACTTCGCGGCGCGCGGTCTGCACACACGGAGTGCGTCCCGGCCTGACTGCGCTGCGGACCCGGTCCCGGCCCTGAAGTGAGGACGGCGCCGAGGGCGGCGGCGTTGGAGGCTCCCCGACCCGGGGAGACCGCCCGCCGCGTGGGGAGGAGAGGGTCGAGCCGGGCGGCGGGAGGCGGCCGTTGAGGGGCCGCCTGGGGAGCGGAGCTGGATGCGGGCGGGTCGGGGCAGAGGTGGAGGCGGCGGGTGCTGGAGGGAGGCCGCTCCCCGGCGCGCAGGAAGCGCGGTTTGCTCCTCGCGGGGCGTGAGTGTGCGGATGCTTGGGGTGCTGAGGGGGCCCCGCCCGGCACCCCGGACCCGAGGCCGGCCGGACGGACTAGGGGGCGGCCGCCAGGGTGCGTCGGGTTGGACGGGGTCGTTTCCTTCCTCGGGGCGTCGTGGGAGACGGGACATGGTGTCCATCACCCCCGTCCCCGCGCGCCCCCGCTCAGCCGCAGCATCAGCTAAGCTGACTCCTTATTCCTGGGGGCGCGCTCGCTCATCCTCGCCGCGCGTGGGGCAGGGAGGTGGGTGGGGGGTATGCGCACAGCTCGTGACACGATTTGGGGGGAAGAGACCCCCTGCTTCCTAACCCGCAAAGAAGAGCTCCGGCCGTGAAGGGATTCCGGCCTGGGTTCGAGTTAAGCCGGCTGGAGGCATGGGGCTCCCCGTTGGGGGCGAGGACGCGGCCCGGGGAGGGATCGCCCTGAGCTCCGAGGCTTAGCTGTGCGTGTAAATAAGTCTCGGATGGAGACGGTCGGGTCTAGTGTTCGTCTCATTTAATCCTGAGGGCAACCCTGTGGGGCTGGAGGCGTTATTCTAGCGGTGCTGGTGTGGAAAATGGGTCTCAGAGAGGTTAAGTCACTTACGAAGGTCTCAACCAGAAAATAATAATAATAATAATAATAATAATAATAATAATAATAATAAAAGAGGTACAGCTGCGATTCAGTCCAGGGATGCCAGACACTAAATGCTGACGCTTTGTATTTTGTGTCTGGACCCAAAGAGCGATATGCCATGTGTTTAGGGGAGACGCCATACAAGAGAATAGTAGGGCAATTAGGGCCCTTCCTTGGGGTATTTGGGTAAAATCGAACTAACAAGGCATGAATCCTTGAATACGTGCTGTTTTTAAGTGTATTTGCCTTTTTAAAAGGGGTTGAGTATAGGGAAACCCTACACTCAGGATAAAAGCAAATTTATCGGTCCGTTCCATGTTTGTTTGAATGCCTTATTTTCCAGATACTCTACGATGTGCCAAGAGCACCAAGATGCGTAAAATGTAGCCTCTCTGCCCTTGAGTTTAATTGGGAAGATGATCTTATAAAAGAATTCTGTAACACTCTTCTAAACGTGGCAATCTGCATTCGTGTGTGAATTAATTGGGTTCAAGTAGTTTTAAGCACAAGCTTTTAGGAGCCATTAAGGAAAGGTGTTGGATAGCTTATTATCACTGTACCATTGATTGCGTCGTTATTTTTCCCATTCAGCAAGAAATGCTGTCATAAACTTTAGGTTAAATCATTTCAACAGTATCTTGCTGTGTTATTACACTGCCTTCAGCAAATGTTCAAATAGTAGAGAAGAGAGCATTTATAATTTATCTCCTGTTAAGTTAAAAGGCTTGATTTTTTTTTTTTTTCTGTAGTGCTTTTATTTCATTAGTTGAAAAGCCGGTGTGGGCAGGATTTCTTTCCAGTTATCTGCCAAGTATGTGCTTAACCTCTTCTTCCAAAAACATAAATGGTAAAAGTACAGAGTGGGCAAAAGTAGGCTTACAGTTGTCCGTATGGAAAAATAATGCAGTAATCATAAATAATGCTGCAGGAATAAACTCTGTTTTGTGTGCTCACAGCTGTAAACCGACTTCTGCCCCACCCTGTATAGTTAATGCCAGGTTCCGTGCACTTACGCTTTTGTGGCTCAGAGTTCTAATGAACACAGTCTTCAGTTTAGGCTGAAATACTAGTAGCACTTTGTTGAAATGTATAACATTACATTAGGCACATTAGCTGTTGATGGGTGGGTAGGAGGGATGGTGGGGCATTTTGGAAATTTCCAGTAGCTTCGGTATTCTCAGTGAAGGAGAAATCAGCTCGTCATCCAAGGGTGATGGGGAGGGAGGTGGGGGTGCAAGCTTTTTGAAGGTTTGGGGCTTTGGGAGAGTGAATGGATTAGTGAAATAGATGATTGCCAGGCAATTAACCAGTCAGGCTGAGGTATGAAAAGCCCGGTAGAGGAAATATGGGATGCTCTGTGTGGGTACACAAAATAGAGCGTCTTAATTGGATTTTGCACGCTAGGAATTCCACAACGTACTTCCATCGCCCGTCTGCACAGTGTGGTATGGAGCATGCACCTGCAGTCCTTTGCCCTAATTCACTTTGTCCGTGCCTCTGCCATATTGCAGGCGTCCTTGCTCTTTATGCAAGTTAAGCTTTTTTGGGAGTCTAGCTTTTCCATTCTTTTTTTTTTTTTCTCTGCCTGGAATTTCCATTCCAGTCTTTTCCAAGCTCTTTCCCCCAGTTGCACTTGTCACATTATATTACATTTTATCTATCTGTAAAGTCAGTGATAGTGTCTAACTTATTTTTCGTCATTATGTTTAGTGTGAAATGAATGTGCCACTTTTTCTTATTCCTTTCATCCATATCAGGGGTCAGTAGACTTTTTCTGTAAAGAGCCAGGTTTTTAGGCTTTGCAGACCATCTGGCCTGTGTTTCCATTACCTAACCCTGCTGTTGTAGCACAAAGCAGTCATAGACAATACCGAATCGAGTGAGCGTGGCTGTGTTCCACTAACACTTTATTTGAATGTCATGTAATTTTTACATGTCACAAGGTATTATTCTTTGACCCCCCAACCCCCCAATCATTAAAAATGGGGGAAAAACCCTCTGAACTCGGGCTATACAAAACAGGCTGGATTTAGCCACCACCTCCTCCATTGTAATTTGCAGACCATTGATCTCTACAGACTCTCAGCCTCCTAAAGTAATTTGCAGGAAGGTGATATTGGTTATAATATTACCATTGATGGTAGAGAAACAAAGATAGATTAGGCGGTCTTTTTTTTTTTTTTTTTTTTTTTGTCAAGGATCTCATGGTCAAGTTCAAGATTAAGACTAAAACGTGTAAAAAAAAATAAATAATGATGACCCAGTATGGTAACTGCAGTTACAGTTTATTTATTGGTTACAGACTTGGAACAAAGGAGTGATAATCAGCTTTGCTGGGGTGGACCAGAAGTAACCTCTGACAGTCAGCTGTGGGAGATAGGAACATTTTCAGTTGAGAGCCTTTCTGAGAATCTTTCAAGCTTGCTAAGGTGATTGACCTCATCTGTTACCAGAAGGTTACGAACATCAGGATGATTCAGTTTCTTTATTTTATAGGATATAATCTGAATTCATTTCTCTCAGAAATAAAACTAATGCATTCCACATGATTTTCCCCTAATAGTTATTTCTAAAGGTCATGTACATTTTGTATTGTTTTGAGAAAGGTGAAATATGTTTCATGGCATGCTAATGCAGTAATCAATATTTCTTTAGTAAATAAATGGATTTTTGAGATTGAGTTTCAGATTATATAAACTTCTAATCTTTTAAGTCAATTATTAATATATTAGAAAAGGAGAAAGGGCGTTAGTGGCTTTCAGTTTTCTTGCAATTTATTAGATTTAGTATGAATTATTTAACCTAGGAAAGTATTCATCTAGGAAAGTTAAATAGTTGATCAATATTAGGTGTTTAAAACCTATCTATTATTTAAAGCTGTACTACAACAAATGTAACCCAGCATTGTAACAACAAATGTAACACAGCATTCCCCAGGTATGCTGTGAGTCAATAGAAAGTAACTTAATTTTTTAAAAAGTTTTGTACCTTTATTTCTGTATCTTTGTCATTGTTTTTTAGCAGTTAAGAAGTGGGTTTGTTAAAAGTTTTAAAAATACTGCATTGGTAAGACTTTGAGTCAGAACTATATCAAGCTTTATAAGTTTTGGAGAAAGTATGATATGTTAAAAATATGCCATGAAAAGTTTTATTGTGTTTTAGTTGTTAACTTGTGCTTTCAAGGATCATCCTGTAATACATGTTGCAGAAGAGAAAGCCTGATATATGTTGTTTACTCAGAAAGCTGCTCTTGAATGTTGTATAGTCCTCTCCATCATTTCCAGTTCTGCCATGTGCTTGTGTGAACTGTATTACTAGAGAGCGAACTCCTGGATATTGTCTGCATGATTCTGCTCTCACAGCCAATGTTAAATGTGGGGCAGGCCAGGCATTCCTCACTGCCTTTCCCTTTTATTCTTTTCAACACCACCACTTGCTGAAGCACTTTATTTAATAGCGGCTTTCCATTTTTTGCCAGATAATTTCGAAATCTTGGCACTGGCTTCTGCCGATTTTCTTTTCTTAAAAGAGTTTTCCACATGCTTCACTTGCCAAGCAATTTTGGGTTGTATGAGACTTTGAGTTGTGTCTTAATCCTATGGAGAGTGTTATTTTCGTTTAGCCTGCTGTCAGCCTGGTTAGGTTCAGGCTGCAGGTTTCTCCCCACACTGTTTGAGCTGTGGTTCTAGTTTCAGTTTGGTTTTTAAAAGCCTTTGCAATGCAGTTTGGATATGTCCTGTGTGTACCACTGGGTCTGGGCCGTGGTCTGACATCTATCTGTTCAGTTCCTCAAGTCTTTGGTACACAGAATAGGGTAAGATCCCTGTATGCCCAGTTTGGTAAGGGTTAGTCCGGGAGTTAATAAACACCTTTACTGTGTTTCTTTCCTGAGCTCCTTTTGATTTGCTCTCCCTGCTGACTTTCCTCTTTTTCA